TCTGGTTCTCTTTCTCCGTGTCTTGCTTCACAGAGCAGGGACTTAGCCCATCAGATCTCATCTTTCCCAGCCACTGGATGTTAGTGAGACTATTGTCCAACACAGAGCTCATTGTCTCGCCATTGCCTGTTGGGATAACAAGCCCATAGCTCTGCTTACTCACACATAACCCTCTTCCCCCTTCATCTCACATGCCAAAAGGAAAGCACTAGTCACACTTCTAAAAGAGGTATCCCTGTCTCAAGATAGGGACAAGATGGCATTGCAATGCTAACGTTTCTTGTGGAAGGAATTCAACCTTGAATTCCTGATTTCATGTGAATCTGCCCAATTTCTGTAAAAAAGCTGCAGCCTTAAACACTCAAACCAGACTGTTGCTCTCAAACAAAACAGGACAGTGTTGATCGAGTACTTCAAGAATTCAAGTATTTTTAGCTGAAAGATGAATCTAGTAAGCAGAGGCCAAGGAAGGTGGTGACAAACTCCAACTGAAAGACCTAGCACAAGACCCAAGTCAGAAGCTCAGATGTCTCCAGGTTTTTGAACTGCGGCAATAAAAACTAACATAGTTTTGTTATTTCTAGTGAGGTTGGTTGTAGCAATGCAGCTATTGCAGCTGCCTATGGGTTCCTGTCAGACAGTACTATACTGTGGGATAAGATTTACTAGAGCCCAAAGGCTACATAGGTATTTTAAATTGCAAATACAAATTTGATCTGAGCAGTGTTTCAAAGTAAAATCCATCCCACCTCTAACATTTATTTAGCAGTTTCATGAGACGGCCAAGGAGGAAACATACTTGACACTTGATATTAGAGGATGGGAATCAAAATCTCTTTTACGAAGCTCTAGGCCCGTATGTTTTGTCCCTGACTAGGGTACTCTATGTTAGTCTTCAATTCAGCCATAACCCTTTTGCTAAATGAAACTTAATCTTCTGTTCTTCTAGACTTTATTTCCTCAAGCCAGCCCTTCTTTTTCCCCCAGCACTAAAATTTTGCTTTGCTATACACCTTTATATGTCATCTCTTCCACCAAAAATATATCCACTAAGATCCTTCAGATTTCACTACATATGCATAGCTATGTATCTTATTAGAATCAAATCCATAGTTATTTTGTAATTAACAAAATAGTTTTCATTACTGCATACTGAGATCCAAGCACTACACTCATTGGCCCACTTCACATCTCTCTCTATCTGTCAGGACAAAAAAAAAAAAAAGGGTAAAGATTACATACTGTTGCTCTCCTGCTCCTGTCCAAGCTCAGAATCAATTCCTGAATGCCAGAGCGTTGTCCCTCCTGCAAGTCCAGGCGTCTGTGTAACATTCTTGTCTCTTTCTTGACCATCTGCAGCCTTGGTTGCTGCACTGGGTTTCTTCTCTGATGGGAGAGGCTGTGAT